AAATACTGGGGAAAACTCTGGTGAACAGCTCCCTGACCTCCAATAGTTGGTAACACAGCTGAGAAAACAATGACAGCCCAGATGCTAACTGGCAAAGTGGAGTAATTTCAGGGTGCTATGAGACCTGAGTGGAGGGGCATCTGATTCAGTCATTAGTGGGGAGGTGTGACCAGCAAAGTCTTCTGAGAGGAAGTGACATTTTGGTTAAGGTCTGAAGGATGAGCAAGGGTAACTGATGGGAGGGTGGGAGCAGGGTGGCCTCGTTGTGATGCAGAAGTACGAGGGAGGAAAGAGTATTCTGGGTAAAGGAAAAAAAGACCTCTTGCAAGACCTGCCAGATTTATTCCTCAGTGCTAAAGATACATAACCCATGCACTCACAATTTGAATTTGATCGAAAGGACCTCTGCAGCTATAAGTGAATTTATATACCCGATTTTAATATTATTACAAAGTAAATCCTTTATGATAATAATTCTCAAAAGAGTTAAAAAGTCTTTTTAATTTTTTTCCCCACACAGCCTCATGAACATTAAAATAATTCTAAAGTGGGTAAAACTGAACACCAAGGACAAATTACTTGCCCAAAGTCGGTGGGTGATATTAAAAGCCTGGCACTGTGAGGCACAGGCTATGCTGAACTGCTGGTCATCATCTGAACTCTCCATCAGAAGGCACTGTACTAAAGAGAAGCAACATTTGGGAAGGCCTAAAATGTGCAAGGCACTGTGCTGAATCCTTCACTTCGTCCCACTAATTCTCATTACAACCCTTCAGCAAAGTCTGCCATATAATTCCCATTTTGCTGAGGAGCTAACTAGAGCCTAGAAATTCAAAGTCAACTTCCCAGAGCCACACACACATCAAATGGTCTTTTGTTCATAACATGTTGCTTCTAGGGAGTATAGAAAATGAGACATGAATGCCTGGTAGAGCATATTTTCTTCTCCCATGATTTTGCCTTACATCTGGAAGTCCAGGCTCTACCCTCATGGTATCATGAAGACACACAGATGCCCCTTCTTCACTTCACAGCCAGCAGGCTTCCCGAGGAACAGGAGCCACCGAGGTGACCATCAAGATCCCCCCAGTGACATGGCTTAATGTCTGACAGTCAACCAATGCACCAAGAATCTTATTTTCAAAAGGGGGAGAGGCTGTAACATGGTAGGTGAGTACCACTTTGATGCCAACTCTCCAGTAAGAGGCTTGATAAGCCATTGAGAGGGAGGAAAAGTAATTCCCCTTACATGCATGTTGACATGGAAGCAATGGAACATAAAGATTTAGAGCACGTGTTCCAGATGTCAGGCTGCTGGGCTTCAAATTCCAGCCTTACTGCATGACCTTCAATGAAGTAACCTACCTAAACCCCAAGAATCCTCATATTAAATAGGAATAAAAATATAATTACTACATCAGAGAGTTATGGAAAGGGTTAAATGAGGTACTTCATGTAGAAATACTCAACATAGTACTGGTTTGATAGCTTAGCAAATAATAAGTTCTTTTATTTTTATTACCATCAGTATTGGGGCCACTGTACTATTCAACTCTGGGGGAGGACCCTCTCATTGTAGCCTATGGGAATGGCACCACCTGGAGTTGTGCAGTGTACAACCTGTGTGACTGTACAAAACCACCCTGGTCGTCAGGTCATGGTGGATGTGTAGAACTTGTGCTTCTCAAGGTGGATGCCTGTATTATTTCTCAAAAACAGGACAGTGCCATATGCTATGGGCCTAGCATGAAACACATCTTGCCAACAAACCAGTAGGTTTTAATAGTCCACAAAGGGGAAAGAAAGGGGAAAATGAGCTCTCCAAAAGCAAGCAAGAGCTCCAAGGTGGTTGCCAAGGACTAATAAGAAAGAAGGGACCTTCTATCTTGGTGGGCTTCAGCATATCCTGTTCAGCGGGCTGGTCACGGTGTCACCAGACATGGGGAAGAAAGCTAAGACATAGGCCTGCATAAAGTAGGCACCCGGGAAAATGGTAGCAGAGTGAGTGGCTGTGACAGGAGGTGACCACAGGACAGGAGGTGAAGGCTGTGATTTAGGGGATCCTGGAGGGGGCTGTTATCAAGTGACTTACTGTTTCACAAGGACACTTTTGATCATGAAAGTAGGAGCAATTAATAATTACACTAGGACTGCCCCAGGCATAAATGAGGACAGGCATCCAGCAAATAGGATGTGTGGCCACCCCATTCCTGGTCTGGTCTATTTACCCAGCTGCTGTCAACATTCACTCTAATGTTGCTGAGGGAACATTCTGAGCAAGCTGCCAGCATACCTTGGACATGGGGACACAGAGGCTTTTGATTGAGCTTCTCTCTCCTCTGGCTGCCCTGAGCCTCACTCCGACAAGTTAGTGTCACTTGAGGGCCGCTCACACTGTGCTGTTCATCCTTGCCACCCAGGCCTTCTTAAAAGTCTGGGCACAGGCAGATGGGAAAGCATGTTCGCAGGAGGGTGACTATTAGAACCTGCTTT